CAATGCACGACGATGGCCGTCCTTCAATTATTTACCAGGGACCTCACTATGGCAACGAGGACGATGTCCCTCATCGTGCACGCGAATACGCTGGAAGAGAATTTAAGCTAGAAAGTGTTACGGTGCCTTATCTGCCCCCGTTCGATGCGACTGGGTACTCTCCTGCGTTGTTCGGAGACAAGCCACCTGTAATCATTAATGGAGACGCCCTTGAAAAGGATAACAACAAGCTCCGAAAATCTTGCTCACTGCGGACCTGGGAATTTGCACCAACTGCCCCAAGCCGTAGTGAAGTTATTGAATGGCTTGAGGAAGAAACTCGGAAATTCAAGGATGCTAACGAGAGCAATGCCCCTTCACAGAAGCCCACAACTTCTGCTCTTTCTCAGATTGAAGGCCCAACTCAAAAGAATCGCCATGGCTTCAAGTATTCTCAGAAAAAGCCGACGAGGAACGTGCGACAAGAGGCTCAATATATGAGTGTGATGAGTCTGGAGGTTCATGTGAATACACGTGGCATTTTAGTTCCAAATCCTGAAGAGGATGAAATTTCCTGCATTATCTGGTGTGTGCAAGATGGTGAAACTGGCATAGATGACGACGATGATTCCGGTGGCATGACTGCGGGGATTATTGCTCTCGCTGAAAATGAAAGCCTCGCAGCTAAGATATCTCCTACCATGGTGTCTGAGTTTGACGAAGAAACTACAGAGCTTGATCTTCTGACGAAACTGGTTGATGTCGTAAGGCAGCGTGATCCCGATATTTTGACGGGCTATGAGGTACACAATAGCTCGTGGGGGTACCTCATTGAAAGGGCGAGATACAAGTTCGACTATGACCTTTGTGACGAGTTGTCCAGAGTGAAAACAAGTTCCCATGGACGGATTGGCAAGGAAAATGATCGCTGGGGGTTCAATCATACGTCCTCAATTCGTGTTACTGGCCGACATATGATCAACATATGGAGAGCAATGCGAGGGGAACTAAACTTGTTACAATATACTATGGAGAACGTAGTCTTCCATCTCCTTCACCAACGCATCCCGCACTACGCCTTCCAAGATTTAACGAAATGGTTTACCAGCAAGAAGCCGCGGGATATCGCAAAGGTCATCAATTACTTCGTCTCACGGGTTCAGCTGAATTTGAAAATCATTGAAGCGAACGAATTGGTTTCCAGAACTAGTGAGCAGGCTCGAATATTGGGCATCGATTTCTTTTCTGTTTTCTCCAGAGGATCGCAATTCAAAGTCGAGTCACTCATGTTCCGAATTGCGAAACCAGAAAATTTCATCCTCATCTCCCCAGGCAGGACGCAGGTTGGCCAGCAAAATGCACTTGAGTGCTTGCCGCTTGTCATGGAGCCCCAAAGCGATTTCTACACCAGCCCGCTCTTGGTGCTCGACTTCCAGTCGCTGTATCCGAGTATCATGATTGCCTATAATTACTGCTATTCGACCTGCCTGGGAAGGGTCGTGAATTGGCGGGGCCAGAACAAACTAGGATTTATTGACTTCAGGAGGCCAGCTGGAATTCTTGAGTTATTCAAGGATCAAGTCAACATCGCCCCCAACGGGATCATATACGCCAAGCAGGAGATCCGCAGGTCATTGTTAGCGAAAATGTTGATCGAAATTCTGGAAACAAGAGTTATGGTTAAGGGTGGCATGAAGGCTGAGAAGGACGATAAGTACTTGCAACGTCTACTCAATAACCGACAACTAGCGCTGAAGCTGATCGCCAACGTCACGTACGGATATACGTCTGCTTCATTTTCTGGTCGAATGCCGTGCGCGGAGATTGCAGATAGCATCGTTCAGACAGCCAGAGAGACGCTAGAAAAAGCTATTGCGCTGATCCATTCTGTCGAACGATGGGGTGCTGAGGTAGTGTACGGAGATACCGATAGCATTTTTGTTTACCTCAAGGGGCGTACGAGAGAGGAGGCCTTTGATATTGGTGAGGAAATTGCGAGAAAAGTCACAAACTCAAACCCGCGCCCTGTCAAGCTCAAGTTCGAGAAGGTTTACCATCCGTGTGTCCTATTAGCGAAGAAGCGGTATGTTGGGTACAAATACGAGAGTCGCTCGCAGAAGGATCCAGATTTTGATGCCAAGGGGATCGAAACTGTCCGCCGCGACGGAACACCCGCAGAGCAGAAAATCGAAGAGAAAGCGCTGAAGATACTGTTCGAGACGGCCGATCTGAGTCGGGTGAAAAGCTATTTCCAGAAACAATGCGCTAAAATCATGCAGGGCAAAGTCTCCATTCAGGATTTTTGCTTTGCAAAAGAAGTTCGACTGGGAACGTACAGCGAGCGGGGCATGCCACCTCCTGGCGCCCTTATCAGTGCCAAGCGCATGCTTGAGGACCCAAGGACGGAAGCGCAATACGGAGAACGGATTCCTTACGTGGTAATCTCTGGTGCACCCGGTGCTAGACTCATTGACCGCTGTGTATCCCCGGAAGTTCTCCTGCACGATTCTCAGCTAGAGTTGGATGCAGAGTACTACATTTCCAAAAACCTAATTCCACCACTTGAGCGGATTTTCAACCTCGTTGGTGCCAACGTTCGACAATGGTACGACGAGATGCCCAAGTATCAGCGTGTGCGGCGTATTGACGGCGGTGCTTCGAATGCCTCCGCAAATAAAGAAGGGTTCTCCTCGATGAAAAAGACATTGGAGTCGTATATGAAATTGTCTTCTTGTGTTGTTTGTCGGGACAAACTGGAGGAGGGTGAGGAGCGGATTTGCGGCGGCTGTTTGCGGGATGGCCATATATCGCTACTACAACTGAAGCATAGTTTGATGAGGGAGGAGAGGAAGAAGGTTTATTTACATAAAGTATGCCGTTCGTGCATGGGCGTTTCGTGGGGGGAAGATGTTAAGTGTGATAGTAAGGACTGTCCTGTTTTCTACACGCGGACTAGACAGGAGTCCACGCTCATGAGTACCCGAGCAGCGGTTGAGCCTGTCATTAGCATTCTTGAGGACCAGAGTGAGGAGGGTCCGTTGAGTTGGTGACGGTGATGTTCATGTCCGCAGTGATGATGTAGTTTATGATTTGATTTTTGACTCCGTTTTTGTATTTTCTATCTTGGTTGACCAAGTTCAATTGGCTAATGACTATAACCGTGTGGTATAAACAAATTGTCACATCCGCCTCAACCCTATCTGATAGCAAAATCCAGGCCTGCCTTCGGACCGTCTACGATCTTTTCAAACCCGAAGCATAACAGGACACGAATCAGACGGGTCGAACTGCCATGCAAAATACAGATCGGTCTCATATGTCAGAATGCCACCCATGAGACTTGACGATAAGGGGAGATCATCTGAGTGCTCGAAAATCTCCCATGATGAAATATAGATCTAGGCCCATCATATTCGAACAAGCGTTTTCAGCGGGGTGCCGTAGACCTATTCCTTGGAAGCCTGGATTCTGTACAGAACCAGCGTCAAACAGCCACATTTTTCAGTGGCTAAAAAGAATCGACCCCTCGGATTGATATATTAACAGGAATCTTGATTTGAATTCATGATCTGAACTGCCTCGCCTTTGTTGCCCCGCTTGTACGGAAATGTAAGGTGTATCACAGGAGGTGTGATGAGAGCAATTCATAGGCTGGCTTGAGAAGTTAGCTCCCTTTGCAGATCATAGAAGATTTATATTTCATGCAGCTCCCAAGAATCGTTCCAATCCTTGCAGTGTGGCAGGGAAAGCAGATGCGATAGATATCTTGAGTACTCTAGGAAGAGAAGTAATTCACGAGTTCATGGCGAGGCTAATCCAAACCTCCTCAAGTTAATTAATAAACTATTTAGCACATTTACCATTAACTTATCCAGGCAGGCGAATTGACGTTGTTCTGCAGGAGAGGAGGGGGTTTCCAGCATCTAAGTGTTAAGAACAATTCTATATCTATAAAATCGCGCCCCAGCCGTGGTTATATAGCTGCCCTCCAAACACCTCGACATTAACGTCAGCCAAATAACCCTCGCCAGAACGTGCTAATACTCGACCAATATTAGGCCACAATGTCTAAAGCTGTCCAGACCGGGCTCATTGTCGGTGCATCTCGCGACATTGACCTCGAATTTGCTCGTCAGATCCTCGCCAATGGCCATCGCGTCCTGGCTACGATAAATACGTAGCTCTAGCGTAGCCCTAGATGTCCATGTTAAAGAAGCCCCTGACCGCGCAAAGGTTTTGACGTGCGATGGGTCTAGCAACGACAGCATTACTGTGTAACATTCTTTCATGTTGCTTCCTCCCGAAATAAGCGGAGACCATGCTGAGAGTCCGTGTATAGAAATTCATCAATAACCTCTCCCAAACTGGAGAGAGGAAAATCGACTAGGTCGTGATAAATGCTGGTATTCTTAAGTATCCGAATGTAAGTCTCAACTACTTCCGGGAGTCGGGCAATCGATATGGCTAACACAACACTCAAGAGAACTCTCGACATGTAATTGTCACTGAATCCTGAAAGGCCCGCACCATAACCCCTATTTCCTTCTAATAGGTCAAAATAACAGTCGTTCCTCAGCCTAAAGGAACTATGAATATAGGGAATAGACGAAGGAACTAGCATTTTCAACGTACTAATACTATTCTCACCCTGGATTTTGACTGTGATGGTGCTTGGTGCTTGGTGCTGTGACTAGAATAAACAAAATACATTTCCTAGTTATGTTTAAAGGGGCTCCTCCAACTATTTTCATGGTCTATAACCATGCCCTAGATTTAGTTTAACCAGCAGCAAACATAAATGCCTCTGTATTTCAGTGAACATCCTCACCACCCGTCAATTTTCTCACTGGCACTGTATAACTCTGTTGTTTTCACATATTCAGTGAAGGTACTTGCTTTGCTCACAGCAGGTTAGCATTTACATCAAGGTAGCAAGCAGCTTGGATTCTTAGACTTGGATTAAGTAAGTTAGTTACTGATCAACACAGAACACAGAGGTGCTTTGATTAAGTCTATTGAAAGATTGCCGTGTTTCATTGATATGGTCGGTATTGATAAACTACTATTCAGGCACTTACTGGTGTAGAATCGCTGTCACATATTTCACGATTAGGCGTCTAACAAAGAAGCATTGAGGGGCTAGGGCTGAAACCATCTGGCTACAAAGAGCCGGAGGTCGGGCACCATATCTCCTTCAGCATAAAAGAGGGCATATCTCGTCCTACTAGTAAGTCAAATATATTTTCTAAACATATCGTATCATACACTCATTCGGACCACTCTTCAGATTGCCTGTCATCATGCCTCTCACCCTTTCAGAAGCAGAGGAAAGCGATGTAGGCGACATCGCGGATATCCACCTAGCTTCGTTCGGCGAAAACATGATGCTCCGGGCGCAATTCCCAACACCCTGCCTGCGTGCCGGATTGCGAATCTCACTGATGGATAAAGCTCGCGAGGAAATTCGCGATCCTCAATGGGCGGTTCTGGTCATTCGCGACGAAAACGAGATCATTAGCTTTGCGAAATGGAAGCGACCTGTTTTAGATGCCTCGTACGTTGAGGTACCCTGGCGATGGCCCGAAGGCACCAGGATGGACATTCTGAATGAATGGACGAAGAAGGTGGATGATGCGTGCAGCAGGGCTATAGGGGATACGCCTTGCTACTGTAGGTTTCGCTAACTCTCTTTGTTGATTTGATCTTCCCCCAGTACGTATGACTTGATGACTTGATGGCTGCTTATTTATTTGCTCCTAGGTTTGAGTTTTATAGGAACCCATCCGAAGCATGGAGGGCGCGGGGCGGCCTCGATGCTCATACGGTGGGGCCTGGAGCGCAGTGCGAGTGAGAATGTTCCGATACAGCTTGAGAGCACTATTGTTGCTTGGCCGTTGTACGAAAAGCTCGGATTTGAGGAAAAGGAACGTATTCAGATGCAATTGGAAGGGGTTGGGGAGAGTGGGATATCAGTGCTCTACGAGGAATTGTCTCTCGTGCGACGGCCAGTGCCGTCTGCTGTCGTGAGCCGAGCGACGAAGATTCCCAAGACAGATTGAAACATATACAATGCTACATATACACGCGATGGTGAATTGTTTTAGATAGATCTAGATATTTCTCAAAAAAATAAAATAAAATAAAATAAAATAAAATAAAAAATAAAAAGGGTCGCGCACTGCTATAGATTCTAAATTCAATCCTGATCAACACCATCCGTACTTCTCATTGCCAACCCATTCTAATGAATCCCCTGTACCGTCCCCCTCTCCGTACCACTGCAGACAGCATATACCTTCTTCTTCACGGTCTTCCTCTCTATGCGCGACTCCCGTTCGCTTGATCAGCTCTTGTACCTGAGCAGACGGTCCCCATAAATTAACATGGTGTAAACCCCACTCTGCAGCCTCCCTCTGCGCAGCAAAAATCACAGCTCTTAGTCCCGCCACTTGTAAATCATACTCCACCGAGAAGCTATCTAGAGCACCTTGGTTTTCAATAACAAGCCGCAGGATGTAGAGAGTATTGTTGGAGTTTGCGTCCTTGGGAGGGTCATAGAACCGGTGCGTCCAGATCGCCCATATACGATTCCCAAGCTCTCCAGCGATGGCACCTTTGACCTGTGGCTGTGACTTGAAGAGAACCTCAGCGGCAAACTCTTCTTTGGTATGGTGCCAGAGCATGTGATCGTGATCCGGTACGATCATGAAGCGTATTTTCTCAGTGGACGGGCATGGTGCAGCCATTGCTTTCAGAGCAAGTGCCTCATCCTGTTTGCAGAGCTTCGCAAGGTCCCTTGCGAACAACGGTGTCGCAGCTGACGATCTCCGTCCTGCTGCTGGTGCCTCCAGTGAAGGAGGGAACTCGACATGAAAGCTTGGGAAGGCATGCCATTTGAGATTTGTATAGAATTGCTTCCCGATATCTGAAAATAGGACACTGGCGATACATTGATTGGCTCTGGTCGTTTGCCATCTTGGTAGCACCTTAGCCAGCTCCTTCATCAGTCGTGAGGCATAGCCCCGACCGCGATATCGAGGGTCACAATAGACACTGGCGACGCCGTGGGTGATGAACTCGGCTACATTGCCATGTTTATCGCTGACCCATGAGCGTTTACGGAAAGTTTCGCAGGAAGCCAGGAGGGGCCTTTGCTCTCGCGGGAGGGCCCTATCCACCAGCACCCATTGGGTCATTCCCCCATCTTTCGCTAAAGGGACTGTCATGAGATACAGTGATTCCTCAAGGTAGATATCCACGGGGAGAGCATCTTTCCATTCACTTGAGGTGAGAGTCCAAATCGCTTTGTTTTCTGCATCGGTCGGGTGGTCGAGGTAGAGAGATGGAGACCGCGCATCTGGCAGAACAGTATCATGCATTGGTGCCATGCTCGCGGAGTAGACTAGTCTAACGATGGGGGGGCCTGTTCTTTACAGAGCTGGTATCAAAGTCGACGGAGATAAATAGTGATAATCATGTTCAAACACTCTACACTCAAGGAGTGCCAGGGATTCACAACTCTATCTTTGATATGGCTGAGGCGGCACCTCGCTTAACCAATCGTCATTCTAAATATCTCTATCTCTTCCCCCCCCCCCCCCGCGGAGCGTGCCACGAAAGGTGATTCTCATTTTTTTCGCCCCGCTCCTTGGCAGTGGGCTGGGGTGCATCCATCATTGACTGACAGCGACTCGGCATCCCTGCCGCAATCGCCCCAAGGGCTCAGCATCGCATCGCGCACTGCACTGCACTGGTAGCCTCTATTTTACTGGGTATTTGGGTGTTTTCAGTGCTATGATGTCGTCTTGGGAAGAACCAACCCAGGCGCTTACCACAGACATGGCCCCCAAACTTGGCTGCTTGTATGCCAGCGGGGACACGGGTTGTTATCTCTTCGAGCATGTGTACCAATCGATACTACGAGCGAGATATTGACTGGCAGAAGACAAGGCTCGAATTAGCGTGAGCGCCTCTGGACAGTCTGTTGAGCCAGGTGAGGAATCGGCAAGGAGCGTGGGGAGAGAGGGGTCCTCGATGACCGCTTTTCTCAGCCTCATAAATAGTTTTGTCTGGTCGAAGCCTGATCTTCTATCCTGATGAACAACCCCGTAGCGAAACGTCGTCACTAAAAAAAAACACATCCTCACATTTTGTATTTCTAATACATCGGACCGTTTAGAGCTTAGAGCATAGAGATGAATTTCCACTACGAACGTTCGACTAGATCCATCCGATAGTAGAGCCCATAATGGATCCTGTATCCGCCATCGGGTTGCTTGCATCCGTTGCCACTCTCATCAAGGTCAGCAAGGGAGCTCTAGACCTTATCAAAGAATACAAACACGCACCAAGAGACCTATCTGAACTCGTACACAACCTTGAGATATTCGAGGAGGCACTGAGAGGGTTTGATCGTGTCCTACGTAGCCGTCAAACAAAGCACAACATCTCCGAGAAGATCCTTCGAACGGCTATTAATGATGGATTTGCAACCATCAAAGATCTTGAGAAGCGTTTAACGCAGGTGTATAAGACTGAAAACTCGAGTTTCCGTCGAGTTAGATTCGTCCAGCATAAGTCGCAGTTTGAAGCGCTTGACAAGCAGTTCAAGAACCAATGTGCGCAATTGCATAGTTTTATATCACTGGCGCATTTGTTCGTAGTACCAAACTCCCCCTTGATTTATCTGAGTGCTAAAGCCGTACAGGGAGACGTTCCTTGCTGTTTGCAATCAACACCCCCAACTCCTAGAAGCATGTTCGACAGCCGTTGAGGAGATGGCAAGCGAACCTCAATTCCTCGAGGATGCGTCGGAATCAGCGTTACCCTTAATTTCGAGGTATCCATCCTCGAACTCATCCTCCATCACAACTCTATCTCTCGGATCATCAACACCATCATCGCGGAGCTCGATAGATTCAAGAAATACTTCCATAACCTCTACCTCGTTTGATAATAAACTATCAGTACCAGGCCGGAGGGACAGGCGAGGTAGTGATACCCCATCCCAATCAAGCAATTTAGTAGACCTCCGATCAACGAGCTCACTGGTCATTCGTCGCGCATGCCGACATGATTGCTACTGCAAATGTCATGATGATTCGACCACCGGTGAACCCAAGGCGCGGTCTTCACGGCTTAACGTGCGGGTATTTCGAGAGAACAGCAAGCCTAAGGTTGAGTGCTCAGATCCAAGCTGTGCAGCCACAACGTCACAGGAAAAGTCCATCCCGGTTTCTTTCTTTAAAAAGGCCATGGCGAATATGATGTCAACTAGTAGTATCCAGGTTCGATATCGACTAAATACTTATCGTATGGTGCCGGAGGGATCCAACGCCATGCGGTACGTTAAACGTGGGAATCTGGAGAAGTTGAAATTAGCAATTCAATCAGGGGAGGCAACGCCTTGGGATACGGCGCCGGATGGATGGTCCTTGTTGCATGTATGTTTTCTCGCATTTCAATATTGGTTTTTTACTATTATTATCAGGGGTTAGTGGTTGCCATATTGCTGACACCTGCTGTGCTGATTGTTTCTAGACTGCAGCGTACGCGAGACAATTGCCAACCGTACAGTATCTTGTTGAACTAGGTGCGGAGACTGAAGTATCGGATCTTGGAGCACGGTCTGCACACTCTTCAACCCGACTTTGGGAGCTTCAATATCGCCTCTATCCAGATCTAACCATTTATTTACTTTTTAGAAAACCCGTCGACTTCGCGTTTCTGAAATCCCAGGGAGCCGATGCTACCCAAACAGAAAAGGACATCGTCCAAGTTTTCTCTAAACAAGACGACTACATCGACGACTATGAGTTCACCCCGATCCACATTGCTGTCCTGGATCTCTACGATCCAGAGGACTCCGAACGCCCCACACTCGAAGAACTCATTGACTTCGTGGACCATGCCAACAACGCCCCTCAGGGCACAAATTGGTCCCACTGGAAATCAAAATACCAAAAAAGATCTCCACTTTTCGTCACCATCATCGAGCAGTTCCGGGTTTCGGCGGCGGAAAACCCAGATACAGGCAAAATCATACAGAACCTAGTCGATCAAAAAGATCGGAAATTCCACTGGACGCCACTTCATTGGGCTAGTGCCACGGGCCAAGCGGATAAAATGAAGATTTTGGTGAATACCGGCGCGGATCCGTTTATCAAGTCGAACTTGAACGCAAACATTTTACACGCTGCTGTAGAGTCAAATGCATTGGAAAGCTTGAGCTATGCGCTAGAGATATGTAAACGGTATCCGGATTTGTTGAATATCGATCAAAGCAACGTCTGGGGGGAGTCACCACTTATGATGGCTGCGCAGGGGTGTTTGGTGGGCTGCGTAAAACTCCTCCTTGACGCGGGGGCAGATCCGAATGTAAGGCAGGAGAATCATCAAGTTGCGCTGCATTATGCCGGCCTTTCAGATCGGGGGGAGAAGAGGTGTGAAACGCTGGCGCTATTCTGCGAGACAAGCCTTATACCAAAGTTGGACATTAATGCGCAAGATGAGGATGGCAGGCCGCCCATATTTGATTTCCTAGATGATTTGGAGTGTATGAAGTGTCTGATTCGACATGGCGCAAAGCTGGATTTGTTAGACAATTCTGGGAATAACTTGATCCACCATATATGTATTCAAGGGGAGAGTGATTCGTTGGAAAGCTTGTTGCAACCTCCACGCGACAAGAAATTAATCCTGACAGGGAAGAATTACGACGGGAACACGGCGCTCATTGAGGCACTGCGCCATGAAAGTATTGACTGCGCGATGATCCTCCTAGAGCTTGATGACGTCGGTGACATTGTGGGTCAGGACGGATGGGCTGCAGTGCACTATGCGGCGAAGCTGGGTGATCCAAGCCTATTGAAAGCCGTGTTGAAACACCCGACTTTTGCACGGGGTGAGAAGACAGATGATGGCAAGACCGCTCGTGTGGTGGCCATGGAGTCCGGCAATTGGCAGGGGGAAATAAAAGACCTTTTAAATCGATACAATGCGCTATTATGATGCGGATTATATGGAATCCCATTACTCCAGTAGAACTCACCCCGGTGGGGTGCAGTTCTATTGAAATGTTCACATTGTACATTATATTGATCGAATATTCTGTCGACGATCATGTAACTATTCTATAGGTTTATATATCAGCAAATCCTCTGAGACTCTTACCGAGCCTTCTTAACAGATGGGATCTGAACAACTTCCCTAGATAGTTATTATACGCATCTAAATGTTTCCAACTAACTTCCACTTCTCGTAAGAATGGAGTATGACTTCGTGCAAAGCAAATATCGAGTTTAATAATTGCCCTCTTGTACAACTTTCCATAGTAGTTCAAGATAATTGCAATGGGTTTAACGTTAAGAGCGTACTATTAGTCATCAATGTATTCACGTGATGTCGAAACCTTGCCCAGGTAGCTGACAATGCCAAGAGACCTGGATCTACCGCCACAGCAGCCAATCGTTGCCTGGCTGAGTTGGTATCAGCTTGTACCTTGCCATCCACAGCGATTCGGTCGCAACCAGGCACAACTTCCCGGCATACAAACTAGCCACAATAACAACCTTGGATGTTTTTTTGTCACGTTTAGCTTCTCGCAGTATCTCCAAAGAACTAAATGACTTGATACCCGACTAACCAGCAGCTCTGGGAATTGGGCTCTATCCCTCTTGTGCTCATTCAGATCCAGGGCTTGCATTACCTCTTCATCGAGCTACCTCCAGCGAAGCTATCATTATCCTTGCTCTTCTCGATGGAGCCCTTTGGCTATCTCCTCTAATAGCCCTCCATGGGGTCCTTCAACGGTTATGTTACCGTCTACATCCTTGGTGGAGTTACCTTCATTCCGCTCATTCTGAGCTTGATACTCCTCCATGCCCATCTAACGTTCCCGAAATTATCGAAGCATGGCAAGCCTGACGAGGATCCCCGTGCCGACAGCATCCGGCATCCCACTGACGATCAGTTTAGCTTAAAAACTGGCACAGATGTTCTAGCAGAAAAGTTCCAAAGAGCCCATGAGTCCGATGTCGCCGCGGGATACTTTGCGGTTTGTCGGGAATATGTTCCAGGAGGGGTCAATGGGAAGCCTCCCGAACGGACCACTCCTGCCGGCGAGGTCGTAGCGGCGGAGAGCCCAAGTGTTTACCAGAGCATGTACCGGAGTATATTTGATCGAAAACAAGCTCCGACGATCGACCCCGCCAAAGGAAATGGGAAAAACACGAGGAAGGCAAGGAATGTGTTTTACGTCATTTTGAGGTGTGTCTGTGTCCACGGCCAACTCCTCTGTTAAGACTCAAGATAATGACAAAGAAACTCACTTTTATTATTTTTTCCCCCTCCTAGACATGGACATTTAATGTTATACGATGATGCAGAACAAATAGAAGTCCGTTATGTGATCTCGTTGGCTCACCACGACGTCAGCATTTACAATGGTGGAGAGCAGATACCTGAAGGAGAGCTCTGGATTAAGAGGAACGCCATTTGTTTGACGAGGAAGCAAGGCTCAATCCCTGATGCACTGGAATCGAGATCCTCGACGCTGCCATTTTATCTCTTCTCGGAAAATCTTTCTGAAAAGGAAGACTTCTATTTTGCAATCTTAAAAAACCTTGAGAAGATTCCGGATTCTCCACATTCTCCTCCGACGCCTCAGCATTACGATGTGAAACATATCGTCACTCTCATACAGCGGCTACATTCGTCCGAAGAACACCTTCAGACACGATGGATCAATGCGTTGATGGGAAGGCTATTTCTGGCCATGTACAAAACTCCCGATTTTGAATCCTTTATCAGGAAAAAGATCACGAAGAAGATATCCCGAGTGACGAAGCCTAATTTTATCACGAAAATTTCTCTTCAAAAGATTGATGCTGGGGAGGGAGCTCCACTTATCACTAATCCTAGACTCAGAGATCTTACTATTGATGGAGACTGCTGTGTGGAGGCAGATATTAACTATAGTGGAAATTTTCGTCTAGAGGTAGCAGCCACTGCTCGCATAGAGCTTGGTACGCGCTTCAAGCCTCGAGAAGTCGACCTGGTACTGGCAGTTGTGTTAAAAAGCTTAAAGGGTCATGGCCTCTTACGATTTAAACCCCCTCCTAGCAACAGGCTGTGGGTTTCTTTTGAAAGCATGCCACATATGGAAATGTCCATAGAACCCATAGTCAGCAGCAGACAAATTACGTATGGTGTGATTCTTCGTGCCATCGAAAGTAGGATAAGGGAAGTGGTTGCGGAAAGTTTGGTTCTTCCATTCTGGGACGATATACCATTCCTAGATACCGAACACGAAACCTTCCGTGGCGGCATTTGGCATCATCCCCCCACGCCCCCGTCGAAAACAGTGATTCCGGATGAAACTGAAACCCAACAACAAATACACGATCTGGTGTCTCCGCTCGATGCCGTATCTACCAAAAATGATGCTACAATCACTCCGCCCTCGCCAGCTTTAACTGACCAAAGTTCAAAGTCTATACCTTCCAACCTGGGAGAATTGGGCTTGTCAGTATCCTCCGGCGTGGACAGAATAAATCGACTGGACCCTCCTCGAGTTATCCGATCTCGAACATTTTCAAACGTTGCCGGCCCTGTTGTTACAGCAGATACTGTGGAGGTTGATCATTCCGTCTGGGATTCGAAGTTGGAGGAAAAGGATGCAACAACCGCTATGATTGAGATTTCTAACCGCTCCCAGCCAAACTCGCCTGCAGGAACACCCGTTGGCTCGCCTCCGATAGAATCGTCCTCATTTCACAAAAGATCGGCGACGCGCAGATGCAGCAGTATCTCTGATGAGACCAGACCAATTGATATTACGCCCCGTACACCTTCGATTCCCGATCGATCTTCTCCAGCTACGCTATCCATATCTAGTAGTCCACGTAGTTCTAGCTTGTCTTTGAAAAGTGAGACTACAAAACAAAACACTACATCTGGCCCGCAGCCTAGCATTGACATCACAAGTGTCAAACCCCCTGAACGGCAAGTTATAGGATCAATAGGATCAGCAGCTGCAGCCGCTCGAAAATGGGGTTTGAATGTTCTTAAGCGGAATGGGGAGCCATCCTCAAGGGGAGACAACAGAACACCAATGCCAGACCATCCTATTGGGCGAGGACGCCCTCTGCCCCCACCAGGCATGCCTCTCCCACCTCCAGACAGGTTTGGCTTCTTGTCTAATCCTTCCATGCCGAAACGTAAACAATTGCCGCCACCTCTTTTACCCGAACGTCCACAGAAGGCTTCTCGTCCCGTCCCTAAACCTCCACTCCCGAGTCGTGGTAACCTTTCTATAAGGGGAAGCCAAGAACAAGTGTTAGACGAACTTTTGATCATCGAAGCTCCTCTTGGATCAGAACCAACAACGCCAGTTACGGATCTTGCTCCTAGAAACAGCAATGACAATGACAACAATACTGAAACGATGACCGCTAACGACACGGGAAGCAATTTGCCTCCAACAGAAGATAAGGCTTCTGTAGCAGCGACTACAGAGTCAGTTGGCGCTGAGAGTAGCATGGACAGCGACCCAAAGCCACTGGAGGATGACACGCAGTCCACGGGCACTCCCTCCACAAAGGATGAGACGATAGCAAAACCCTCCTCTGTGCCAACTCCTAACGAACACACCCCAGATATCCTTTTCCATTCATGAGGCAGCTGCCTACGTGCAGCTTTATTGTTTTATTCTTTTCGATTGATACTGTGCATCTAGTTTAGGTGCCAAGTGAGTTGGTTGGATCTCGTTATTCCTACTTCCTTTCGTTCTTTCTTTCCCCTTTTTTCTTTCCTTTCGGTTTTCTCTGGACGATTCATGGGGAGCATTCATTCGTATGGAGTTGGTTGACTAGAGTTTGTCACGGCTTATTTTTAATTGGATTTTTTAGGTTTTTCATATAATAACTTATATTCCTCATGGTAGGTGTAGCTGGCAACCGCGACCAGACGACGGTATTGCCTATATTAGTTGCTTACATCGCCCTTGTTGGCTTAGAGAGTTAGCAATTGAAATTAGATTATAATCCAATTTCCATTTTAGGAACCGTTGTGTGATCTTTATTCCCATTTTCCGTATGATTGTTTGAGGAGATATTGGAGGTTTACTCATATACTCTGGTCACCACGCACATTATTTTAGCATGTGGTGATTGAGATACACGTAGTTGCGCTGGGGTGAAATCCAACCGGCGCCAGCTATCGGCATCATGAGTAGCAAAATATATCTTCCAGTGGAGTCTATAACCGTAAACAGAGTATCATGCTAGGGTGATATGAGGAAGCATTGTCCCAGACTGAATGGGAAGTGAAGTTATGCAAAAATGGTGCATAGCCCCCGAGTGACGGCGCCAAGACAATGGGTGCTGACTCAGCATTGCTGATTGCGACGACTTCAAATGCGTTGCAACAACATCTAAGAATTCTTTACGTTATTCCTAGTTCAGTTTTTCCTTGTTTATCACTTATTTATATCTACCAGTCTGTTTTTTGTTATTCATTCCACTTAACTATACCCTCTTATCGCTGCTCTGTTGTTGAAGCTACGGGCTAGCTCTTGCTGGCTGTCCCTTCGCTCCATTCCGTTCGACCACACCCTCAACCTCTCCGGGCCATGTCACTTGCCTACAATTCGGTAGCCACACGGAATATCGACATGAGCAGGTAATTAACCCCTGGTCAAGCTTAGATCCCGCACCGTTTTCACGGCAGTTCCTTCTGGTGATCAAAGCAAGAGGATGCGTTGGCTGATACTGGTGTTGGTAGAACGGAAGCGGATCTCGCGGTGAACATCCGCAAGGCCACCAGCATTGGTATGACTTTCAAACCCGGTTTCAAATTGTTGTAACACTGCGATATATAATATGATGAAACTAATCTATTCGGCATTGATGAACAGAGGAGACCGCGCCTAAACGTATGTTCCCAAATCCAGCCCCGCCCCCCGCCTGACGACTGTGCAGACAGCTGCCTGATCTAGATCTCCGCAGTTTAAACTAAATTATGATGATATAGGCAAACATGTCCGGAGTTGTATTGTTTATACGTGGGACCACAAATCGTCGACAAGTTTCTGGGCGGGCATGAAAGTGTAAGTCATTCTAATCTGGCTGTTGTCAAGTCGTCGTACAATTATCGCCGCTGCGGCTCGTATCTCGCCATCGACCCCACGCACAACGTCGTTTTAACGCGGGCACTAATACCGATTGTCCTACCAGCCAACCAATTCTTGCCGACGAGGTCCAAACATTTAAAGCGTTGATAACAGTGCACAAGGTTCTGCAGGAGGGCCACCCGATAACAGTTAAGGAAGGGCAGTCGCATGTTAGCTGGTTGGATAGTTTGACTAGAGGTGTAACCGGGGAGGGAATCCGAGGTAATTCCATCCCCCGTTGGTTCCTGGACTTAAAAAGGGATATCGAAATATTGGAAGCCCAGGTGTTTGGGCTTGTTGTTGCATACATGCTAAAACGTCGGAATTCTATTAGGGTACGGTCCATTGATTAGGGAGTATGTATTCTTTTTGGAGGCGAAGCTGGCATTTCACCGTCATCATCCGGAGTTCAATGGTGAGTTGTTTGTTCCTTGCGCTCCTATCTTCGCTACTAGCCTAGGCATGTTTGAGTTACTAATGTGACCGTCGACCTCTAGGCCTATTCGAGTATGAGGAATACATCAGTCTTAAAACAACAAACGATCCCAATGAAGGGTATGATATATACAACGCCAAAACTCTCGTCTCTAGGTTCTCTATTTCTAATGGACATACAGCTATGAAACCATCACCGACCTTATGACCCTCCAGGATCAAATCGATGCCTTCCAGAAACTCATATTTTCACATTTCCGGCAGAGCACCAACAACGAGTGTAGGATTTCGGCTCTGGTGCCACTCGTGCAAGAGAGTTATGGTATATACAAATTCATAACGAGCATGTTGAGAGCTATGCACACAAGTACGTAATAGTAGTGGAAGCTGGATGAATCCTACACAATGCTAACAGATGTTCACAGCTACCGGAGACGAAGATGCATTGGAGCCTCTGCGTGGCCGTTATAATGCACAACACCATAGACTTGTTCGGTTTTATTATGAATGTTCCAACCTGCGTTACCTCACCAGCCTGATCACTGTTCCAAAGCTTCCCCAACAACCGCCGAACCTTCTTGCGGAAGATGAGGAACGCCCAGCTCTCCCGAAACGGCCCGCTAAGGAGGTCGAGCGAGAGCCTACACCGCCTCCAAAAACAGCAACAGTTCCCGATCCAGAGCCAATCAATGATTTCTGGTCGAACGAAACTAGGCGTCAACAAGAGGAGTACGAAAATGAACAACAAAGACTACAGCAGCAATGGGAGGAACAGCAACGTGCGCAATTACTTGCACAACAACAGGCGCAAAGGGAGTTCGAGGAACAACAAAGATTACAGGCCGAACAGCAGAGATTAGCTCAAGAGCAGTTGCTACAAACCCAATATCAGCAGCAGACGCAAGGTCGCCTAGCTGAGCTGGAGCAAGAAAATCTCAACGCTCGTGCACAGTACGAACGAGACCAGCTCATGCTCCAGCAGTATGATAAGAGGATGAAAGATTTAGAGGAACAACTGAATCAGCTAAACTCGAATTATAATTTGCAGTCTCAATCCAAGGACGACCAAATACGAGCGCTCCAGGAGCAAGTCAATACTTGGCGGACAAAGTACGAAGCCCTTGCAAAACTTTACTCCCAACTTCGACAAGAACATCTTGATCTTCTACAAACGACAAAATCCCTAAAGCTCAAGGCGGCATCTGCACAGGAGGCTATCGACAGGCGGGAGCGACTCGAGCGCGAGATGAAGACGAAGAACTTGGAGCTTGCAGATATGATCAGAGAACGTGATCGGGCACTACACGAGAAAGACCGTGTTACTGGTGGAAACCGTGAAGAGGTTGAAAAACTGAAACGCGAGCTCCGCCTTGCTATCGAAAGAGCTGAAAATGCAGAGCGCGCAAAGGGATCTGAAATTTCCGCTTTGCTTTCCAAGTATAATAGGGAGATGGCCGACCTTGAAGAGTCGCTTCGGGTACGTTCTAATATACTATTTTATCTAGGCACATTTTTATCCGAAAGCTAACTTGTTACAGAATAAAACACGAGCTCTTGAAGAGATCCGAGCGAGTCATGGAGAAAGAGATGAAGATCAGGAAAAAGCTTTACAGGAAAAGGATGAGGAGATCGACGTGTACAAGTCTGGAATGGAGCAGGCACTGATGGAGTTGGAAGAATTGAAGTTGGTACGTAGAAAACGCGGAATATACACAATTGAAGGTTTATGGCTAACGTGCCTTTACAGAGCCAAGGAGATGCTGATCGTGCTCTCGACAATCAAATCGACGATGTGCTCCATAGCTCCGTTGCTAAAATCAATGACATCATCGACTCTGTACTTCAAAGCGGAATCCAACGAGTCGACGACGCTCTCTATGAATTGGATTCAAGCATGCAGGCCGGAAACCAAAATGCCTCCCCGTCCTATGTTCTTTCACAGATCGAAAAGGCTTCCGCGAGTGCAACAGAGTTTTCCACTGCGTTCAACAACTACATTGCCGACGGACCAAACAGTGCACACGCAGAAATCATTCGAACTGTCAGCATATTTTCAGGCTCAACCGCAGATGTGCTTAGCAACTCAAAGGGCTTGTTACGGTTCGCTACCGATGACAAGAAGGCAGACCAGTTAATAGGCGCGGCACGGCAGTCTGCCCAATCCACTGTAAAATTCTTCCGTGCCTTACAGTCGTTCCGTCTAGAGGGTCTAGAGCCTCTACAAAAAACAGACGTGGTCATCAATAACAACCATGAAGTTTTGATGAATTTACAGAAGCTCTCTAAACTTGTCGATGCGTTTGCTCCGAAGAGCAGCAAGCTTAGTGGCCAGGGTGACCTGGGCGATATTGTAGACCGCGAACTTACGAACGCAGCCAACGCAATCGAAGCTGCGGCAGAAAGACTCGCGAAGCTAAAGAAAAAGCCGCGCGATGGTTACTCCACATACGAGCTTCGCATCCATGACTCTATCCTCGAGGCGTCTATTGCTGTCACTTCTGCCATTGCGGAGCTGATCAAAGCTGCGACTGCATCTCAACAAGAGATCGTCCGAGAAGGTCGCGGCAGCTCGTCACGAACGGCATTTTATAAGAAAAACAACCGCTGGACGGAAGGGTTGATCTCTGCGGCAAAGGCTGTCGCCAACTCCACCAATACCCTAATCGAGACGGCAGACGGGGTCATATCCGGACGAAACTCCCCTGAGCAGTTGATTGTTGCCAGTAACGATGTCGCTGCCAGTACGGCACAGCTCGTTGCTGCCAGTCGAGTCAAAGCAACTTTCATGAGCAAGACGCAGGATCGACTGGAAACTGCCAGTAAGGCTGTTGGTGCCGCATGTAGAAGCCTGGTGCGGCAGGTTCAGAGTATCATTGCAGAGAAGAACCTCAATGAGAACGAAGCCGTCGACTACTCGAAACTCAGTGGCCATGAATTCAAGGTTCGAGAGATGGAACAGCAGGTACGTTTGGTTGTTTCCTTCCAAGTGTGTTTGTTTTCTTTGTTGAGTTTATGTCTTTCTTTGTCCCGGTATGCTTCTTGCATGCATAAACTTCGCCTATTCCCATACAACCCCAGCAAGATCTCTATCCAGAAATGCACAACAGATCCCAGCACCACTCTTTATCCCTGTATTTCCAATCCAGACTTCTGGAATGGAGAGAGCCCTTCCATCATTATATTTATATGTTGTGCATTACATCGCAGCACATGCTAACCGCGATGTTTGAAAAATTAGGTTGAAATCCTCCAACTCGAGAACAGCCTTGCGCAAGCGCGACAGCGGCTCGGCGAAATGCGTAAAATATCGTACATGGAGTAGTTAGCATGTGTATTTTGCCATCTCATCAGTCTCCATTATTTTGTTTTTTTTTTACATCTCCTACGATTTTTCTTATGCATCCAATCCGTCTGTACCCTAGCGCCTTCTCTTTGCTTTTTTTCTTTTCTTTTCCTTGTTTTGCTTTTAAGCTTTTTCAGAGTAGCAATCGATCAAACAAAACATAAGTTCCCCAAAGAATGATGAAAGCATATTTCGACCAGCCCTATCTCTCGCAGCCTCCAACTAAAATAACTTACAAGGGATATTTTGTGGATGCTTCATAGTAGCCCCATGCCTTTCCATGTGGAACATCCTACTAACTTTCAAGTAGAAGTATCTTGTCATTTTCGTCCAATCTAATGCCTTCGACTACAAACAAAAACTAAAGCAAACAAATTTGCCTACGCCACTCGCCTTTCCCGTGCTCTCTTTTACCGCCTTGGTAGTCAATAATGCAAAGAGTCGCCGTGCGTTCCAAGCTGGTCGCCCCAAAATTTAGATCCATAGCTTCGGTTTTTGCTTACGCCACACAAATCCAGGGTTTTCTGTCCATGATGAAATTTCCCCGTTTTCGTCGCCTTGTAAGGTGGAAGGAATGGCAATCAGCTTCCGTGCCGTTTGTGCTGAAAGGAAGGGCACGAGCCGCGCACTTTTTTTTTTATTTCTTGAAATACGAATTTCCCACCCAATTGTGATTTTATCTTTACTTTATGCTTCTTCTTTCTCTTTTTTCTTCCCTTTTCCTTTTCTGATCTCCAAAAATCGTCACAGAGAGTAGCCAGCCCCTTAAGTTAGGTGTTAGCCGCTAGCTCCTTATTCAAAGTATCCTGTTCTCCGCGAAGAGCAGCAAAAGCGAACAATGTTGCCAACGCTCGATATATAGGTGGAATTTCCAGTTATTGCGCAACAACTTTCCAAGGACTGGTTTCTCTGACACATGGAAGCCTGAACTCTTCATGCTTATTTGACCTGCGGTCGCTTTCCCTTTTATTTTTCCCTTCGCAACAATTTCTTACGTCAGCTATTAATTTGTAACTAATTAGCTACAGAGTAACAAGTTATTTTAGTTACCTGTTATATTTCCTGCTGCGGACCCACAGTACTCCGTGAATGGATCCTGCAAACACCTTTCGCAAACGCCCTACCTTATACAGTTTAGCTTCACGTAAAATTGGCATTTCGTGTATTTAGTGCAAGCCATTATAAGCCACTATCACTGCAGTGGGTCTGTTTGTGCAATGTTTCCACACTGATCAATGTCATGAACTTATACAGCGTAGCGCTGAATGGCCTTCCTTATATGGTTAGTTAGACCCCTATTACATTTGATTATTACATAATCTGAATCTGATTAGATATGTAATTTATCTGTAATATATATATAAAGTCAGTACAAAATCAAAATTACAGACAGACTCTAGCATCATGCGATAAACAGCCACAATCTGGGCATTTAAACTTAGATAGGAAGGCGACGCGTACTAAAAATTCCATGCAACTTGGCATTGCATCCATCCAGTACAGTACAACGCAAAATGCATGCAGCGCCGTCTGAGCTTCTTTTTTGAGTTTGAACTATTGCCTCCGCGTGCAGGCCAATTTCTGCCCTTGAAGATCGTTTTGTACACAGTAATCAACATGTCCAAGCAAACTAGGGAAAAAGGCCTACTCGAGCTTATCGATTTAAAACATTCGTGCACATAATAAAATGTTTTTGTAGCACACAAGCCTTGGTGTGCTAAGTATTGCAGAGCTAGTTCACATTAGAAAACCAATTCTACAGACAGATCACAAATTCACAATATAGTAGAATTGAATATTTTCATCATTATCATTCTTCTCTGTAAATCATTAATTTGTACTCTGTAATAACTAACTTTTTATTTTTTTTTTAAAAAAAAAATACTTATATAACTTATAAACTATTTAATTATTTTTAATGAATTTAATAGTCATTTCTAAGAGACTCTGAAGAGTCTGAACATGATTTAATTTTCTTTGAAAAGAGAAATTCTCAGTGTAAATATTGAATCTCAATGTTTTTAATATTAAGTAACTTAATACTATCATCTCTGATCTGATGTTTAAAAGAACTAATGAAAACTAAGACTATAATAATAACAGTAAGTTATTTATAGAGAGAGAGATTCTATTTAATAATTATAATGAATTTTTTTTTCTTTTTTTTCTTCTTCTCTTTTTTCTTCTCTCTTTTCTTCATTTTTATCTTCATTTTTATTTTTTCTCTATATTCATCTTTTTCAAGTTTCTCTATCTTTATTTTTATCTTTATTTTTAGTGCTATATGCAATCTTCTATTTAATAGAATAGTTTAAATTAACTGTAAAAACTGTATAAATCTGCAGCTATATTCATACAAAATATAAAAAAAAGAATATTTACAGTTAATTCTTTGATTGTAAGTAGACTGACCGTGTGACCGTGTCTGAGATCAGGATCAGAATTTTTGATAGTCTCATTGTCAATTTAACAGATCTCATTACACAGTTCTAATATTAAATAGTAGTCTCATACTGTCTCAGTGAAACTTAGTAACTTACTGTCTACTCTTGTCACATTTTTCAAATGAGATCATGATTTTCACTTCTCAATTTAAATTATTTTTATTGCTTTAAATGACTTTAAATCTCATTTAAGTGTTATCAAAAAGCATTACTTTTTAAAAAATTAAAAATAGTCTAAAAAAACCTTAAAATGTCTAAAAATAGTAACTTTATGTCAAGAATGAGACTAAATGAGATCAAATGTGTGGCGTGCTTCTGCCCTCTATTCAAGTCAATCCTCTATTCAGCTCTAGCTTTCACTTCATTTCTTGCTGTTTTCTGAAGCTTTCACTTCTATCTTCTCCCTCTGTTCTTCTCTTTATATGTGATCACTTCTTCTATGAGAGCTTTCACTTCTTCTCTACAGAGTCTTTATTCTTTTCTTCATATATAATTGCTTCTTCTATGAGAGTGTTCACTTCTTCTCTACAGAGTCTCTATTCTTCTCTTCATAGATGATTGCCTCTTCTACAAGAGCTAATCTCTATAGAATAATCACTGTATATATAAGAGTGTACACTCATCTCTCATCTTTAAGAGAATAAGACAAGTTTTTACTCTTATATCTGACTCTATGTAGCAGTGTACACTACAATTTGATAGTATATCTTGTTAAGAATCAAGTTCTTCTAGCCTCTTTAACTTCTGCTCTGCTCTTAATATACATAGCACTGATAATTGAACTGAGCTGCAGACACTAAGAATTAACTAGCTGATAATTGATCTGATTAGTTATTCTATCTTCTTTCAATACTGTAGCTAGTGATTGATCTGACCTGCAGTTATTTAAATCTATCTTATTCAACACTACAGCTGATGATAGGTCTGATTGATGATTATTTAAGCATCTTCTGCTTCAGAATACTATAGCACTAGTGATCAGTCTAGAATGTGATCACAGTTGTAGTAAACTCATCTTCACACTCTTATACAACTTCATCAGCTCTATCATGATAATAAAGCAGAATGAATAAATCACTCAGAGCAGCTTCTGTCAGTCACTCTCTTTCACTGAACTGAATGAGCTTATCAGTGAAATCAAACAACTCATCTGAGAATTCACTGATGAACCTGACTCAGAACAAACTTACTCACAAGCAATGGCTGAAAAGCATACTATTATAATTGTAAAAGTCTGACAGAACATAGATGAACAGTATGAGAGTATTAAAAGCCAAGTGATGCTGTATAATTGTATCAAAATGAAAGACATTCTTATGAGTGTATCAGCCAGGTGTTACAATAACATAAAAACAGCTCTTAACTTCACTTCAGTAGTGAAATGAAAGAATGCTATTGATCTCTGATTACAGGCCTTTCACACAGACATCACAAAGAATACTAAGAAGAGGAATTTAATAGCTCTAAGCTTCTATGAATTCAACTGTCAGAACTGCGCTTCTTCTGATAAAGCAGCAATACTAGATACAATTGAGAAGTTAGAACAGCTAGAAGCCTGACTGGCCTGACAAGAGAGTGAGCTCAATGAATATGAATATTAGCTTGATCAGTGAAAGAAGCAGTTAAATAAGCATATCACTCTTGTTGATGAATGTATCAGCAAACTTCAAGAGAATCTTAAATAATTGACAGATAGAAGAAGCAGGTTGATGAAAGTATGAAATAGCTTTCACACTGAGAAAGCCACACTCATCACTTAAAGACAGAAGCTGAACTGTTGTCAGCAGATGAACTGTTCAGCTCAGATTGACAGAACAGATGTCAGAGCTGATAATTCCCTTAACAAGTCTGCACAGTAATTAGATGCCTTCTTCAAGAAAGGCTTTGAATCATCTTCTAGAACCTGATGAACACTGACAATTCTATGAGAACTGCATGATGCTGAAGGCAGAACATGTCATCATAACCTAATAAGAGACAGAATTAATTTCCTCAGAGAAGCTGACACTGTGTGTTTTACTTATAACTCAGAGAGAAACTGAATGCACAGAGATCAGACATCTGTTCACAACAATCTTGATCTTCTACTTAATAGTGAACTCTGTTCATCTGCATGAAGTGATGATAGATCAGTGAGATTACAGACTGGTGATATCATGCTATTTAACTCAGCAGAAATGAATGTAATGATGTTTATCAGTCACTTGAAATTCATTATCACACAGGAGAAAGATGACATGGTTCTTCATATATTCTCTCTGTGCCTGAAGAGTCAGGCATTGAAATGATATAACAGTCTGTCTATTGAAATGAGAAAGAATATAAACATCTCTCTTTCTATCATCATCAATGAGTTAAAACATGAGTTTCAGCTATCAGAAGAAGAAGCTTGAATGAAAGCTCAGACTCTGTGTTTTTTCTTTGAGAAGTTGAACAAACTATCTCTGATATTATACATCTCATGAAAGATTAACTTACTGTGAGCTGCTACAATCTCTGACCTCATTATGATAAAGAGGCTCTTGTGAGAGAGTTTAGAGTTCAATCTTTTCTTAATCACACTGCTCATTCTCATCAAATAATTGAATAACTTCTGATAATAAATTAGAGACAATGAGTCAGCTGTCTGACATGCCTGAACTGATCAGAAGACTCAATTCACTGACTACATGCATAGTTTCAGACATTTTAAACAGAATAATGACTGCTGTCTGTATCACATCTCTCTGTCTAAGCAGACAGAAGCTACAAAGCTGTCTATATCTACTACAGAGACAGCAGTGATTCTCATGAGTGCTCTCACAATGAGTAAGTTATTAATTTAATGTACAACAGAAGAAGGAAGATCACTGATGCCTGCAGCAGAGTGCTACATCTGTGAAGGCCTTCATTACATCAATCACTGCCTCAAAAAAGAGGAGAACAGTGATTATTCAGTGAATTAAGTTAAACTGAAGAATACTAAGAAAGATAATGACAAGCTGCTGAATCTAGATCTCAGTCTAGATTTCAACAGTGAGTCAGAAAAATAATCAGTAAGACAGATACTGAGAGACTCATCTCATCTACAGACATTTTCTCAGATGATTATCAGAACATCTTTAATGCTGACATATATGTAATTGTGATGTATGATATCTCTATAAGTGATTGAGAATACATTAGCAGACTACAGTATTTGTCTTACATCTTTCTCATTATTTCTGTTATTACATTACAAGGCAATCTCTCTGTTTGCATGAATACAGATGCAGGTATATCACTTATCAATACAATAATAGCAAATCTATTCTTCTCTCATTATTAACTGATCTCTATGCTGCATGATCAACATGTGAGCATTCAAGAAGTTGACTCAGAAGCTGATGAATTAAATCTATTCATAATAACAGATCTTATCTTGAGAGTGAATAATGATTCTCTTTTCATTGTTGAAGACAAATTTCACTTAGTGTGATATCTCAGATGCAATATAATCATAGCTAATAATGTATTATTATCAGTGAAAGCAACTATCAATATTCATAGTGAACTTATTACATTTTATGAAAGATATTTCATAAATATCAAGATCATCAGAGACACTATTTACACAGGTAGATGTCTGTCAAACTCACAGCTGTCTCAGCAGTGAAAGAAGATTGTCATTTATACTGTCAATGTCAACATTATTCATCATTCTGACTGAGAAGACCTTCTGTTTTCTATCTTATACATTGAATTACATTTGATGAATGCAGAAGACCAGGATAATCTGCTTCAAATTCTCACAGCAGACACTCTCACTGAGTGAGTTCAAGTGAACATATCAGATCACTGAGCAGCAGAAGACTGAGCAGTCATTCAAGTGATCATTAACTGACACTACAAACTATTTAGCTTCAGTCTAGACTTATTTTCAGACAATGTTAAGATGTCACTGCAGTTCATTGATGAGAGTAACTTTTTCAGTCTGAAACAGAGACTCTATTCTCTGTCTCAAAGAGATTGTAAAGCCACTGATCAGATTCTGAACCTGCTTCTGCAAGATAGAAGAATCAAACATATTTCTCTCAGAGACAGAAACCTCATTGCTTCACTCATCTTTGTAATCTGGCTTAGAGAGAAGTCAAGAGTGA